GGAAGCACCTCGCTCCTTATTACGAGGTGCTGGTTTGCCCAAGTCCCGTCGCTCACTGCTGATGTGATCTGACGGTTTCGCAGATAAGCTGCAACAGCAACGGCTTCACACCAAAAGAACACCATTTGAGCGTTGGTATGGCAGAAAACCGGATCTCAGTCATCTTCGAATTTTTGGATGCATAGCATATGCATTTATGCCAAGGAAGCATCGCACCAAGCTTGAAGATTGTAGCGTGAAGGCTAGTCGGCTACAGTGATCATATGAAGGCCTACAAGCTCTTCAGTTTGTCCTGGCTCTTGATCCTCCAGTCAACCGTCAACGGTTTATGGTTCTTGACAGTGACGAGGAAGCAGACCCTAGCGCAAGTGCAGCTCCAGCAGCAGGATCCATTCAGCTCGCCTCTATAGACGCAGCGGTAGGTGATGCTGAAGCGAGTGGGAGCACTCCGGTAAATTCTCTCAACCCACCAGCAGGCGGTATTTTTGGCACGGGTGGGAGCGACACAACGGGACGTCGCCTCCAGTCGGCGGAGAGATCGGCTTAAGTGGGAGTACTCAGCCTTCACCACAGCCAGTGCTTAGACGATCTACTCGGATCCGCACACTCACAGAATTTCAAGAACGGCTTGACTTTCAGGCTGCCCGCCGAGCTTCTCGGCAGCAAGCTCAAGCTAGGGAGCGTGCCCAGACAGCTCTAAGTGGTTCCAACACGTTCTACTCTCCAGAAGTGCAACAGGCGTTTCTGGAATTACCTTCTCCAGTTTTCCTATTTTGTCAAGGCTGAGATATCTTGGTTCCCAAGAATTCGCATGAGGCACTCTCCAGTCCTGAGCGTGAGCAGTGGCAAGCAGCAGCAAATTCTGAGTATTCGTCTCTCATGGAGAATGAGACATGGGACCTGGTCGATCTACCTCCTGGAAGGAAACCAATCAAGACTATGTGGCTTTTTCGAATCAAGACTGGAGCTGATAAGAAACTTCTCAAGTACAAGGCAAGACCTGTAGCAAAGGGATACTCACAGGTTGAGGGCGTGGACTACAAGTCGTGAAAATGGCCTCTATCCGCTTGTTACTCAATCTTGCAGCCCAGCAGAATTTAGAAGTGGAGCAGCTCGACATCACCACAGCGTTTCTCTATGGCGATCTTGACGAGGAGGTTTACGTCCTCAGCCAGAAGGATACGTCATCAAAGGCCAAGGTTTATATGGATTAAAGCGCAGTGGTATGCGAAGATGAACAGCTATCTACTCTCCATCGGTTTTGTGAGTATTTCAGCAGATTCTAACGTTTATCTTCGCAAGTCAGTCGGTACATCTCGCATAGCTTTGCAGCAGCTCAAGCGTGAGCTGCAGGCACGATTTAAGATGGTGGATCTTGGACCAGTGAAATATTGTTTGGGGATCGAGATTATACGCGACAGGCAGGCTGGCATCATACAATTATCTCAGCAGAAGTATGTTGACGATATTTTGGAGAGGTTTCATCTTGCTGAGCTGAATGAAGCGTCAACTCCTATGGAAGCCGGCCTCCATCTCAGCAAAGATCAAGTCCCACAAACAGTCGAGGAATGCGAGAATGGTTAGCAGCTTAGTCTACCTAATGGTCTGTACATGGCCAGATTTGGCTTTTTCAGTGGGAGCAGTGTCCCAGTTTCTCGAGACTCCAGGATTTCCTCATTGGTTAGCAGTCAAACGTATCTTTCGACTGACGTACTCCAAAGTCGCCTCAGGTTATATTTTTAGTCTCGGCAGCGGCGCTCTCACATGGTGCAGTAAGCGGCAGTCAATTATAGCGTTATCGTCGACCGAAGCAGAGTATGTGGTTATCGCAAAAGATAACTGTTGGCGCTAGCTGAGAATAGCCGATGCCGTCCAAAAGCTGTCGTAGCCAGCAACATTCCTTAGCTGCTATCGCACTCACCAAGAATCCCAGGTACCATGGGCGTACCAAACATATCCAGGTGCAGTTCCATTATATTCGAGATCAAGTGAACCAGCGTGTTTTGGAGCTCATCCATTGTGGAACAACAGAGCAGGTTGCAGATATTTTTACCAAGGCGTTACCTCCAGCTTTGTTCCAGCGACACGTATAAGCACTTGGGGTGAGAGAGCTCCTTGAGCGAGCACCTTAGTGCTCGAGTGGGAGTGATACGAATATGCTGATATAGCATATTCTCCAGAGCTCTCTAGAGGCGCGGGCAGTTAGGGGATACCAGAGAAGGGGGTGTGTTTTCCTTTGTAGCCTCTTGTGATGAACGAGACCCTGTTCATCCTTATCAGCCATTTCCTCGGCATCAAAATTATTTGCAATCGAGGAGCATGCACCTTGAGCTTGACACAAGCTCACTATGCAAGGGAGATCTTGGAACGCTGGACTGCTCTCCCGTGGCCACACCTCTTGAGGTAAATCACAGACTCAGCCGTGACATGGCCCTTGTCACAGAGAGTACATGGCCACGGTGCCATATCATCAAGCTGTTGGGAGCTTAGTGTATCTGATGTTGGGAACACGGCCAGATCTCGCCTATGCTGTTGGGATGGTTTCCCAGTTCCTCGAGTAAAAAGAGTGGAACGAGCTCATGAGTGTTGTGTCCACCCCTTTTCACATCACAACATCTATACCTGGAGCTGCTGACGTAGCCACCGCACACCACCTGTTTAAAGCTGTTACCTGGCGACAAAGATGGTCTGTGGTTTGACACTTGGGGTGAGTGCAACTTTCTTTTCTTCCATTCTGTTTTAAGTTTATGTTTTCTCTAAATTCAGTGTTGTAAATGGTCGACACATTTTTCGTCATGCCACCTGTTCATTCTAGAAAGGAGTATGCTCCAAAGACGAGCGAAACTTCTCCAGAATACGCTTACGGCTTCAAGAGTGGGATGGCAAGGTTTCAAGCTTATCAAGATGCCTTAAAGAAAGGACCGGAGCATCCAGAGAATATTCCTACTCACTAGTAGAACATCTCCAAAACCAGCAAGAAGAGTTCTTACAAGTACTTAATGTCTTTGGTGGCTCTTTCCATTCTTTAATTTTCCTTTCTTAGCAAACGGGACATAAGTTCTTGCCAAAACAAAGACAACTTCCACCACTAGAAAAGGTTGCGTACCTTGAAAAGATCAATAATTTGTGCGATTATAGGTTGCTTTCGTCAACTCAAGCTCCCTGCTCTGCTCCTTGCATTCCTCCACTGCCCTCTCCAGCTGACTCAAGCATCACACGATGTGATTCTTTTGCCTTCTCCTCCCGGTCTTTGCCTCCAAAATACTATGGACTCTGCACGGTTCCACGTCTCTGACTCCAGATGCTCAATCGGAGTGGCAGTGCGAGGTTTGAAACGTGTAGAGCCGGACTTTCGAATCCAGGAACAACCTCCCTCCAACACACTCCAAAAAATAATCCCCCAACTCCAGATTGTCAACGTAGCTCTCTTCAGATCGCTCGATCGAGCAATACAAATTCTTTTCTTCCCTTCTTCCACTTATTGATTTTGTGTTTCTTGGTTTGAGTTTCCCAACTTGGCTTTGCTCTCCGTCATCGCTGCACCTGGCCTTCTCGTGACGCTGGCATTCCAGATCATCGTGGCCCTCCTTGTCCTGGATCGCTTGAGTTCTGAGACCAATGGTTTCGCCCGGCTCAAGGCTTGGTGGTGTGCGCTTGGAGAAGCCCGACAGCAGCTAGCCTCTACTGCCGAACATCAAGGGACGTTGTCATGGAGACTCTCAACCAGTGGAAATAGCTAGAAGAACTTCTCGAAATGTGCTTCTCGAAACTTCTCATAAAGTCCACGTCAGACATTAAATTTCTAGAAATTTGTAGAACGATCGCTGGGGTTGCAAATGAATCAAGTGATTGAGGAGGAGGTGTTGCAGCAGCTGCCGCTGCGCGATGTCTGGCGGATGAGAGCAGTGTGCAAACGGTGGCGGGAATTGATCGACTCCCCAGGGTTTGGCGTGCGGCACGCACAGGCAAGCATTCCAGCAGCTGTTCCTTATGTTCTTGCAGGCACGTTGCGCGGAAGGATGTTCAGGGGCAACCCATTTAACAACAGCAACGCCTTCAACTGGATAGAGATGGAAGCGTGCCCACAGGGGGGGTTTCTTATAGGAAGTGCTGGTGGATTGCTCTGCTTTTTGAATAGTAGGCAATCCAGTCACTGGATGCTTTAGAGCGTTGCCAGATCTCAGGGCTAAAGGGCTGATTTCATCCTCTTACATGGGCATCAGTCAAGACTTCAAGGAATACACAGTCTGCTTTGTAAAAAGTCGTTCTTGTGAAGAAAAAAAAGTTGAGATCAGAGGTAAGGTGAGAAGTGTCTACACAATGTTTACAACAGCTCATGTATACAACTCGAGACTGGGATGCTGGAGGGCTGCTAGCACACCATTGGGATGGTGTCAGTTGGAGAATATGGGGGAAATGGTGGGCAACGCTACTTTGTATCTGCTTTGTGGTCACTACAAGAATTTGAATGATCCAGAGTATGTCGGTCTGTTCACTTTGGATTTGGAAGGGTTGAGGTTTGAATTAAAGCAGACTTGGCCATGGGATGAGCGGCTACACAGGAATCATGGTTTATTTGTTTCCTGCCATGGTCGGACAGGTGTGTTGTGCTGCACTCAATTCAAAAACAGCATGCAGCTATGGTATATGCAAGGAGATACAGGTGGTGATGTTGGAGGTGAAAATCTGGCTAAAGGTGTTGGTAAAGAATCCAATGCTATATGTTTGAATGGAGCTGTTTTATTTGTGGAGGAGAAGTCTTTATCTACAACCATTTTGAATTTATCTACTACAGATGCAGTTGCTTTCCCATTTCAGGAAAATTCCAATCTAGCAAATTTCGTAGAATTTACACCTTCACTTTTATTACCATAACTTGTATTGTGTTTCTTTTTATAATATGAACTAGAAATTGGGTTGGCAAGGTAAAGTTCTCAAAAAACTTTAAATCTGAGCCAAAAGACAAATACATTGGCTAAGAGTTTTATAAGGAAAAAAATTCAAAAAACGCCATCTAGCATCTAAATTTCTAGCACTTCACCATGCTCAGGATGTGTTGCTATTAGCGTCATATAAAAGACACATACTTGAAGCAACATGTAAAACACCCATTTTTAGCTACCAGTAGAGACATATAATTGTGATCCTCAATGTCCGTAAGTGCTTTCCTCCTTTTCCAAGAGCCATTTCGGTTTTGATTGCACCTTTACTGTCAAGCACATCACGTTTTCGAGTGGTAATGAAGATCTTGCTTCCATTCTCTTGCACCACATCAAAGAAATCCAAATGGATGAATTTCCAGACATCATCCAACACCAGCAAGCATCTCTTCCCATCAAGCCCCCTCCTCAGTGTTTCAATGCTGATCTGATTTCCTTCTAGTCGGATTCTTTTGGCAAGTTCGTGTTGCTTTGCTTCCACCTGAGGAGATACAACCATCGCTACTCAATATATTGCATTATAAGCATAAGGAATGTACCTGAAACGAGTGACCGAATGTAGCCACAAAACTGGATCGAAACACCCCTTGACTTGATCGTTGTCACATACTCGTTTGGCCAGGAGTATTTTTCCAGCACCTCTTGCTCCATGGACACCAACCCACTTGCTGCTTATAGGGGACCCCAGCAAGTCTGCTACAACCTGCTCTAGCATCTCTTCCATGTCGAAAATGTGCTTATCCAGAGGAACAACATGCTGTTCTTCCTGTGGAACCACATTAGAGAGCACCTCCTTTTGCTTCTTCTGTTCAGAATTTCAACGTTAAGATGTAGAGAAGCTGCAGCCAAGTGCCCATGGATCGCCTTGGAGCAGTGTTCGATCTTGGTAGCAAGTGTTATCCTGAAACAAAATCACAAACTCAATTCAGAAATATCCCAAGAGAAGCACAACCAACCAACCTCTTTAGGCCATCTAGAATGGGATTTTGTAGAGACTGGCACTCAAGAACAAGAGGTCTAGCCTCTTCAACCTTGGCTTTGAGGGCTTTCAGCGAGGTATCCAGTTGTGAGGAGCTCAGAGAGCCCTCGGCTGCTAGGTGAAATGAAGAAATATTCTGCTGCCCGGATGCTTCGGTCAATGAATCTTCCAACCCGCTGCACTTCTCCTTGCAATGAATGGCAGACTTGGCAAACCCAATCACTTCTTTGACAGCTTCAGAAACAAGCACTCTTAGCACACCTGTGTGGGCATGGATACAAGCTCTGTATTTTGCTCAACACAAGCATATAACATCTTCTATGTTCTCTTGAGAGTTCATACATACAAAATGATGCAACATGTTTGCGCGTGAATGTGTGTTCCATTGTTTTCTAATTTTTTAGACGACACCAATAAAAACAGAAGAAAAGAAGACTAAAGGTCTAGTCACATGTAAGGAGTGTACCTTTTTGTGGAAAATTGCTCAAACTCAAGGCAAGCTGCACTGAAATTGGAGGATGTGTTGGTGGAGACTGCAAAGGTTTCCTTGGTTAATCATGGTGAGGAGGTAGTACTAAAGCTTTCTTCCACAGCTGATTTTGCCATGGCCTAGAGCTCAATGGTGCTCTTTTGTATGTTGATCACTATGACAATTGTCAAGTCTAAGCCTATAGAGCCCATGAGAATTAAGTTCTTAGAGTAAAAAAGATAGTAAGACTGAACAACCACTTTTTTCCATTTTTCATCAATCATTTTTTCTCAATCTTTTTTATAGATTCTATGAAGTAGTAATGGTGCACAACACACTCCAAAAGCAGCTTACATTACTACTGAGCAGTGGCGACGGTGGTGATGGTGGCAATGCTAGTGATCCTGTCATGGCACGAGAACATATCACCCACCTCCATGCCTAGGATGCTGCCGATCTGGCACTTCCTGTGGTTCCTGTGGTGAAGGAAGTCTTCCCTCTTCTGGAATTGGGTGGCTACAATGAGATTGGTCTGAGTCCTCTTTCAACACTAAACGCTATGGGCGTCGCTAGGATCGTTACTATTGCCACTATCGCCACTGCCTAGCAGAAATGTAGGCTGCTCCTAGAACATGTTGTACATCTCTACTGCTTCATAAAACTTATGGAAAAGATTGAGCGATGGAAAATGGAAAGAAGTGGTTGTTCAGTTTTACCATGCCTTCTGCTCCAAGAACTTGATTCTCAGGGAATAGGACCTTTGGTTGAGATATTACACAAGTGGATGAAGAAGAAAGTGACTCCACCAGCACGAATAGTGGCAATTGCAGTGGAGGAAGTGGTCCACGACACATCTATGGAGTACACTCTTTGGGCTTCTATTGGTGACATGAAGACTATTCGCTCAAAACGTCGTTTTTCCTTTGCTGATGAAGATGTTAGCATGGATCTTGGAGCAAAAAGCTCTCACAGGCCTGATGTTGAGTATCATTCTACTCCAAGACATCGCCCCCAAACCGAGCCACCTCAAGTGGCTGATGAAGAAAGTGCATTACAGCAGGTTGAAATTGCTTATCGTAGCATGGAGCTGAAACAATGGGCAATCCGTCAAGTGCCAGCAAAATCAAATATAATGTATATGTGGATGCTTTCAAGGGGCAAGTGTTGAGCTTGGATCCATGGTGACAAGTCTACTTCTATTCCAGCCCCATGTTTCCATGGGGAACGAAAGCAAGTAGGATTTTCAAGATGGTGTTGGCTATATTGCTACAACATTGATATCAACCATACAAAGCAACTTGAAGACACTATAGTGACTAAACCTGATGTAGTACCTAAAGAATGGCCGGTTGCTAATGGGGTTGCACTCACCTCAGATGATATTGAAAACCTTGAGAAATCTTGTTTCAATTTTGAAAAGAGAGTTGGAGACATGAGTGAAAAAACCAGGACTATTCCTACAGAGATGCACAAGAGGCCAGCAAGAAAAGGTAAGTCAATTAAATTTATTGGTACCATCTCCAAGTAGAAGCAAGGTAAAATAAACTTAGCTCAAACACTTGAGTGTGAGATTCTCTCCACGAAGTACATCATTGCGCTTGCAAAGGAGTACATAGTCAAAACAAAAGGTGGAGAGTATATAATTGCCATTCAAGACTTTTCTTTTTGCACATGTCTAGACTTTATTAAGCATGAGGAACATGAGAAGGCATATGCTCCTTGCAAGCATATGTATTACATCTTCATCAACATCATACACCAGGATCCTAAAGTAAATATTCATATACACCAAACAAGCCTTACTATTGCCAAGTTGTAGAAAACTTTTGGAGGTAATTAGATTTTCCAACACTATCAATGTTTATTCTCTATTAATAATATAAACTTATTATACCTTATATAATTAATAAAAATATTTTTTTATTTCACTTTTCATTTCATATTTTTGCAAGTGTTCTTTTCACAATATTGCCCATAGTATTCATAAGTCTCTATTTTTTTCTTTACCATCTCAAAAAATATTTCATGGTAATCTTTCGGGTGTGTGATGTTTCAATGTGTTGCGAGAGTATATGTACTATCATAGTTGTTTTTTTTTCCTTTCAAATGGTTCTATGGCTTTATATAGAATCTTAATTCAAATTTAATAATTTAAATTTTTTGACAAACTTGACATTTACTAGCCAGAAAGCACAAAATACAAATTTAAAGAAGTGACAAGAATACTCTTTTTGCAAACATTTTATTTTATGTTCTAACAAACATCCCTATCATTGCATGTAGTAAATATTTAAATTATTAGAACAAGAAGTGTCCTTTAGAACATTTCTATCTATATAATATATAAAGAGTTATGAAATTATTAGGTTCACCATAAACTTAAAATTTTAAAGTTTATAATGTTTATACTAAATTACAATTGAAGCAAACAATTGAAAATCAAGCTCAGCTCGAGCTCAAGTATGGTCTGCTCTCCGCAGCCTTAGAACACGATTGCATGAAATGCAAAACGTTCTCACCTTTGGTGTCTGTAAAGTAGCAAGTATGCACCCAAAATGCTGGAATGTTTACAAAAAAAGAACCAGATCAAAATGGTCGTCTCACCTGCGGCTCACGCTTCACCTTACTTCCACGTCTAAACGGATTCTGGCCAGAGTTTATAGAGACTCTGCAAAATCAAGTTAACTGAAAGGAAAAGTTCCATACTTCTCGTTAGGATTATGAAGTCAATATAGGGGAACCTTCACATCCTTGGATATTATTAGTTTGTGTTCTCCCTAAGCATCGGGACAGAGGGATTAGCAACGCAAGACTTAGGAGGAAAAGGTCTTGAGAAAGATAGCTCATACCGGCAGCAACAGCATCATTTGTTGTGAAGGTCACGTTTAAGTTTCTCAAGTTGCCATCTAGAAAAGTAAAATACAAAAGAAAAGATCAGGATGAGAGAAGGCTTCTTTCTTTTTCTGCGAACTCACCCAAGTTTGATCTGTGATTATGGCCATCTCAAGGTAGCAGGAAAGCCGAGCTGGCCTATTTCCCTGGACGCTTCAAAAGTTAAGTTCGATGTACACAAGGAAAAAAAAAACTGTCGATCTCTGATAAAAAAGAAGATAAAAAATGGAACGAAGATATCTCAAGTTCTTCGTGTTTTTTCAGCGTACCACCAAGAACAGGACGCTCTCTCCAACCGAAGAAAAGAGCAACGCCTGGCTTGACAAGAACAAGAACAAAAAATAGGACTTTTGTCGACGAGGATTGTCAAGAAATACAAGCTTTTGCGTATGTGGAATTCCATTACATTTTCTCCTCCTGTATGGACAATCCCCCCTCCTGTACAATTCTCTCGGCCACCACGGCAAATCGTCATCACCATCTCGTTCGATCGAAGCGACTCTTTTTGCATCCCCAAAAAATTTCTTTTTTCTTGTGTGTGTGTGGCCATCTCTAGTTTTGTTATTCCGCGCGATCTTCTTTCTCTCCGTGCTGCTCGCCCCGTTGTAAGAATCTCCCAAAGCTAATCCTCTTCCCCTGCTCGATCAAGATGGTCCTTGCGAGAAGTCCCCTTTGCCGTAGAAGTAGTGTGCCTTGTCCGCCGAGCTGTTCCTAGCACCTGTTTCCTCCTCGTCCCCTCCTTTCCTCCGCCTCTTGGACGACTCTGCGTTGTCCTTCCGCCCGTGCCGCCTCTTGTACGTAAGAGGCTCGTGTTTCTCCCTCGACGTACCGTTGTTTTCGTTGTTGTTCTCGACGCTCGCGGCGGAGGGCGCGGCTGCTTCCGGCTGACGTTTGAGCTTGTGGTACAAGTCGGAGAGATCGGGGCCGGAGAGGTCTGAAAACCTCGCGACATAGTTCCACAACCTCATGGCCATTTCTACAAAACAAAAGCATATATATGACCGCGTCTTTGAATGAAAAGGCTTACTTTGAGGATTGCATTTCTCCCCCTTGTTGTCGTCCAAGATGCTGTCAATCTTCTGACCGAGCTTTTGTAGGTACTTCTTCACTCTTACTACCACCTGAAACCAAAGATTACGTGAGTAATAAGTCGAGAAGATGAAAACTGCAAGCGAGAACCTTCTCGTTGGACTCGGAGTGAGCGGACTTCAAATTCTGGAGACGTTTGAGCGTCCTCACCTCGCCTTTCATGACACCCTCGCACCAGTTATGCCATCTTTGGTCCCTTTCCTTCTCGTCGGTGACACCCTTTGGTCGCCGCTGCGTGCTTTCATCATCATCTGAGATCTCCCCTTCTTCCTTGTCTTCTGCTTCCTCTCTCGCAGCAGCCGCTATGGCAGCGTTCTCTCTGTTGATATTCCTTGCCGACTTTCGTGTCCCCGAAGGCCGGCTGCTGTTGCTGGCCCGGTCCTTGCCCTGTCGCAGTTTACTGGAGCTTTCTTGATTACGCTTCGACCGGCTCTTCGAGGTCTCGCCATTGGATCCCTTGTCAAGTTCCGTCTCCTGAAAAATAATGTGAGTAGAAAGTTCAAAATGGAATGATAACAACCTTTCGTAGAAGTGTATTAACCCGAGCATCCAGATGGGTTGCTCTTGGTAGAGAAGTTTCTCCCGCCGTCGCACCGCCTGGAGCCATCTTCTTACCTAGTAAAAGCCTCTCATCCGTTCGAATTTTCTCCCAATTTCCATAGCCATGGTAGTAAACCCCAAGTAAAAGCCTGGCGTCGTCGACTGAAAAATACAGGGTGACGAACAGAGGAAAATATAACGTATAACCTTACCTTGAGACCATCTCGACCACATTGAAGACGGATTTTTGGAATGCGAACGCAAACGAAACTGAGAAACAGGGTCTTGGTATCGCCTGATGCGTTTTCCAAGTAAAGTAAGCTCCTTGACTCGAGTAAGAACCTCCTGAGCTTTAACTGTAACTCCAAAAAAATCCAAAATAGCAGC